ATATATATATATATTCTCTAGATCTATATATATGTATATAGAGATATATATTCTCTAGATAGATAGATACTGCAGTTTATCTTTTTCATGTTGTTGCACCAAGTAAACTATATAGACCTAAAATAACTGACTTTCAAACGGCCAGTTCTATTTGTGTATTTTTATGTATGCTAGAGCAAAAAAGTTTTACATTAGCATAATACATTAGCATAATTTTAACTAAAGCTTGGTACCCATGCTTGTTTTTTCGTTCATTATGGCATGCTGAATGAAAAAATATGACCAATTCCTCCATCCTCCTAACTACAAGCACAGTTCAGCTGATGGTTTTTCTTTCAGCATGCCCATTTGGCAAAAGTTGATCTAATGATTGACTTCTGTCAAGGGGCTAGAGCCACCCACGTATCAAATTTTGGCAGATTCCTGCAGAATTGGTAAAAATGTGCTCTGCATGTACCCAGCTAAATAGTGTACTTAGTTTTTTCCAGCATTGCAAATTTTAATTCTCTCCTTGTGATGTTTAGCAATTTTTAGTGGCAAATTATCTGAGGCCCTAGAGAAGTGTTTTTTTTCATTTTCTGTTTTGAGGTCCCAAGGAAATTTCTCATTTTTCAGGGATGGTTTGATAATATACCAGTGTTAATGGAGGAATTCATTAGGTCGTTCTGTGAAAACATCAATGATCAATGCAGGCCAGCAGATATCCTGAGGCAAGTTATGTTTTTATATCAGTTGTATACAAATGTATAAATTAGTTGTACTGCTTTCCGACAGCATATTTTATTATCTTGTTGTATATGGTCATCCTTTCCTCTAACAGAGGTAGTCCACATTTCCATGGTGGAAAGATGCAAAGCTATGAAGTAAATACAGTCACACACCTGATGCCATGGTTTAAAGCTACAGGTCCCTGGAACTGAGCAAAACAGATTGTTCAAACAGGACAGAAACACAGAGACTGCAGTATTTGACCTATTCTTCTGAAAATGCAAGTTTCCTGGCCTCAATATTTTCAGGAAAATTCTCAAGTGCATTTACTCAGAAATCTGGATTTATTCAGCTGCATGTTACCCATGCTCCTAACCCATTATCCCCTAAGATTTTTTTTTTGTTTGTGTCTTGCACCACACAAACCAGTTTGACATCGTTTTTATTAGCACCATCAGTGACAGCTGGAAGTCAGATTCACAAAGCTGTTCAAGCACTTTTCTTATTAGGAAACTGGAGCCTGATTAAGGCCTACAAAGTTAAGGTGCCCATACACCTTACGCTTATCGGACAAAACTTTTCGTCCAATGATCGAACTGTCGTGCAATTTTCGTACGACGGCCCCATCCTGCCTCGATTTTATCGCAAGGTTCAATTAGCGGTTGTTAAAAAAAAAACACCTGGACGACTTGCGGTAATTGACCGTAATTGTTTTAGTATGCGCAGTGTTAATCGTACGACTTTTGACTGACGGAAACGCCACCAACCATGCGAACATCGTACGATCGATCAAAGTTTTCAAACATGCTTGACCGTCAAAAGTCGTACGATTGTACAGTACTATCGGTCGAGCACTCTATTCACACGTTGCGATTGTCGTACGAAAAGTCGATCACATACGATTATCGTAAGGTGTATGGGCACCTTTAGTGTTATCACTCAGCCACACTTATTGGCTTAATATAATCATTACAAATTGAAAGTTTGAAAGCTAAATGTGTACAGTTTGGCTGTTATTACTGCAGCATTGATATATTTTTTAGTTTCTAGCACAAATTATGGAAACACATGTTTGTTGATATTCTTTATAAAATAATATTGGATTTAAAACTACTACTCCTGGTACCCAAAGTCAGACAATAGTGGGCTTATACCCACTATCAGCTGACATGGCACAGCCCCACCACAGTTATGCACGATCCCCACAACAGTGTTGGGATGCACCCCGGCTGCGTAACTGACGGCTACCTCTCTTCACATGAATGATAGCCAACTGGGCCCACCCTTCATAAGCTTGTAGCCCCAACCAGGGCTGGAAGAGAAGAGACGGGCCTTTCCTTGACAGTCACTCCTTTTCTCTGAAAGCGGAGACAGACCGTTAACTAATTTAAGTGATCATGTGATCGGTAAGCTCTTGGTCTTAGAGCCGGTATGGGATTGCTGCAGTTTCCCACGCCAGCTCTATTTAATGGGGAGAGTGTTTTACTCTTCCCCATATTAATTAAATTTATCCTGACAATAGAAATTATAAATGAATTATGCAAAAGGGCTATTCTACTAGTAGATGTTTTATTTTTGATTAGTTGCACCAGTTCTGTCAGTTTCAGACAGAGTTGTCTGTACCATGTATGTGTATCTGGGGCTATTGACTTGATTTTCATCGATATAAGAAATGGTCCTTGTTAAAACCAGTCTTTGAGAATTCCCCTTGTTTGAGTTATTGAGCTGAAACAAGTTTGCATTTTAGACCTTTTAACTTTACTCTTAATTTCGTCATCTGCATACTTGTAGGTTATTGACTTATTTTGAAGCTGAAAGGTCAGCAGTAAAGTCATGTGTCTAGCATTTTTTGGAAGGCGGTCAAGGATGGCAACCTTGATATCTTTTCTCCTGAATTGTTTAATTTAAGAATTTCATTTTTGAGCATCTTTTGCATATTTTATCACTGTACAGCTAACTTAATTTGAGATGAGTACATTTGCTGTGGTGAGAAGTTTGTATGACGGGAGGACGCTAGTTTGTGTCCTCCCGTTACCCTAAGGAGACCTATGGGGAAAAGACTTAACCCCATAGTTCTCCTTTTAAGGATGAGGAACTGCAGTTTTGAAGGTCATTTGCAGTCGGTCTACTTTCAATAAGTTCATCTGCTATTTATGATTTATAGGATATTGCTTAAAAATCTCAAAAAGATAGTGTTATATTTTGTTTATACATCATAACAACGGTCACTACTTTGGTTCCACCACACTCATAGTTGGCCCATTTACTTTTTTCCACTTTAGGCTGAACCTAAAGCGCATGGAGGGATTTAAGTAGTGGTACAGTTCTAACTGGTGTTTTTTCATGCAATAAGTTTAAAGCAAAAAAAATATCGGCCTTCTGCAATTTGGCACAGTTAGCTTTAAAATTAATCTATTATTAAAATGCATATATTTTTGTACCCAGAGAATTGTGAATGTGTCCTCACTGCCCACCTTTCTGACCATTTAACATTGCTGTTGACCATACACCACTGCTGTTGCTAACCATGCTTTTTAATTCACTTTCTTCTTGGCTTAAAAGGTCCTGAACAGAATTTACTGAATAGAACTGCTGGAGGCAGCTGCTGCTATGTCCTTTTTCCCTCTCTGAAAGTGGAGAGCTTCTTTCATATGACCACATGTAATCCTTAGTTATGGATGTTTAATACATTCCAAAACACAGAGAGGAATTTTTCTTATATACAGAAAGTATGCTTATCTAATTATGTAACTCACTGCTGCTTTTCCTTCTCAGGTATCTGCTGAATTTCTCAGTACCAATTGATTTCAAAGCACCCGCACGCAAAGTAGAAGGATGTTTTAATGCTTCAGATTTGCAAACGTCATACCTCTGGCTTGTTTTCTGGTGAGTTTATTCCCTTCTACTTGTCTTAAATTATTGCTACTGGAGACAATAGGTTAATTAGGTAAGCTGTTCAGTTCTGTCAGCTGCATGTTTATCTGGTAAGGCTTTAACGCAAAAAATGAAGATTTGCAATATTATACGGAACTTTTAGAAATGTTGTCCCTAAAAAAAATGCATCTTTTATCTTGAATTCCTTCTGACAAATAGCAGAGCCCTTCCTGATATGCGAGTAGGATAAGGCACTCCTGTGTATCTGCACTGTGAGATCTATAGCCCTGCGGCCTCTGACTTGCTAGTCTCTGGTGATTTGGTGATGATACTAAATGTGCTGCTCACTGTTCTCCTTGCTGGAGGCTTTGACATGCTGAAGCAGAATTCGGCCCATACCAAGGTGACGCGCCGCAGTGTACAGAGACTGTGCAAAATAAGGCTTGGTAAGTCTGTAAAGGGGAATAGATCAGCTGCAGTGCTAGTGACTTGTCCTTTGCCTTCTGCCTTCATTTTTTGGCACAGCTTCTAGCGCTTCCTGTTTAAGATCATCAAGACTATAGCACAGTTCTGCAGTGCAGTTGGAAGCTTGTCTTTAATTTTTGCCTTGTCCTCCAAAGTATGAGGTTAAATAAGGCACTGCAAATACTATACTGCCAGCCAAAGCCACTATGTCATGCACTTCATTTTTATTTGCAGTCTATGGCAATCTCTTCACGCTAGCACAGCAGAGGCAGCCGATGCATATGAAGCTGCATTGGGGGCCATGATGCAACATCATATGCTGCAGAAGCTTTGGATGGAGTGAGTAGTATTCTCTGCTTGGTTTCACAGGAAATATTTCACACAAACAGCTGTCGTAATATTTATTGGCTCTTCTCTTTTCAGTTATCTTGTCTTTACGAACAGCAAACTGTTGGAATCCAGAAATAAATTCCAAGATAGTAAGCATTTTACAGATTTAGTTAACAGATGTCTAATGACTGTTCCTACACGGCACCCAACTCCTTTTAGCACAGCTGAATTTTGGACCAACTACGAGTTTCATAATTCAGTAAGTTTTCCTATTAACCACTTTTGATATTCCCATGTTTTCAATAAAGACTTTCATTTAGGTTTTCTATATAGAAGATTTCAGGCAACTCCATTAGATTATTCTACTTGAAACCCTAAGTATACCTCCAAGTTTGCAAATGTATTTCTTGAACAAATCCTAAGGCTTTGGCATATGCAACCTTAATATAAAATGTGTATGCAGGCAACCAAATCACTTTTTTCGAGCTGACAATCATCTGATTGCTGCTCAGCTTGAACCCACTGACTTCAGTGCAGCATGACTGGGCCGATAGAAAGGGAGTCAGAGTCCCTCAAGTATTATTCATAAATGAGAACTGTTTAGTTTTGCCTCACAGCTGCTAGTCTGTTTTTATATATGCATACACATACATTTACACTGGATTGGTGGTTGGAGCAGCATAAAACATGGATGGACTAGCATAGACCAACCCCCAGTTGCTTTCTTTGTGGGGATTTGCTGAGTAGTGTTGGACAAGTTGTGGACTTGCACTACAAAATTATAGACCATATTGAATTCTTACTGGGTTATTTGTTTGTGCTTTCAGGTGATTTATTTTTATTTGAGCTGTGTTCCCAAGGCACAGCATTCTAACATTTTGGAGCGCTTTTCCTCCATGATGCCTGCAAATCTTGGACTTGCACTCAGGTGAGCAAATTGTTTTAAATGTTTAAGAATTAACTAGCTGATTTAATTTAGCAATGCATCAGTGGCATTATTTATTTATTTTTTTAAACTCCAGGAATTTATTTATGAACCCTTGCAGTGGGGCTACCCACGCACTGCAAGAGTTAAGTGCTCGTTGTCTAGGTTAAAAAAAATAAGTTATACTCACCAAATGCTCTGAGGCAGCCAGCTGTCACAGTACTTGCCCCAGCCTCTCTCCTATGCTGTAGCATTGGAATGCTGCTCAGCGTTCTCGCGTCGATACCTTAGAGCAGGGGTGTCAAACTCAATTTAATCGTGGGCTGCATCAACATTATGGTTGCCCTCAAAGGTATCTGCAAGACTATATAAATGTATCTAATCTGCATTCGATTATCACTGGTTTTAGTAATAACTTAATACCTAGATCTGAAAGTAGAAGTCTAGGAAATGGCCTGGTGGGCCGGAATCGGCCCCTGGGCCATGAGTTTGACACATGTGCCTTAGACCGCTCAAGAGGAAGGGCCTAGACAAAAACTAAACAGTTAACCCTTGCAATGCACTGCTAGGTTAATACGTTTTTCCTGGAGTTCTTCTGCAGATCGAAGCCCATCCCCTTTTTATCTTCAGATGAATGGAAATTGCGTAAATACAAAAGTAACTATGAATGTCTTAACAGTGTTTATAAACATCTACGCATGCCCTGTTAGTCTCGGTGTGTGTAGCTTGCCCATTGTTCCTAAGTGATAAATACTTAGGTAAGCAATATATGGAACTTTAATGTAAGCTAAAAAGAAGCAGTTACCATTGGCAATAATAATGAATCACCACTACTAAATTGTTAGAATACTGCGATTACTTAAATTTTTGTTTTTAATTTACTTGTATTCTCCCTGACATAGCCGAAAGAATAAAAGGCTGTCCATTCACCTGCCTGAGGTCAGTGCTGATGGTCACAAAATCGATCATGTAACACACATGAAAGGCTTTCTCCAGCAGCCTACACTCTGTGTCGGGTATGAGCACTCAGCTCAGGCAGTCAGGTCAGTCTTAAATCAGACAGAGAGCTGACGTTTCTGCTCTGACAGGAAGAGAATACAAGTCAGTATTAACACGCATTCATTAGAAGCAAGGCTAAACTATTTTAACAAATTTGGAGTAGAGATTCAGGTTCCATTTAAATGCCTTTTCCTGACTAGTTCTCTTTAAAGGGTAAGGACACTTCTAGGTGAGTTTTCCCCAGTTCTGCCCTCCTCCCCCACAGCAATTCTGTAATTTATATTACAGAACTGTAAATGTACTTTTAGATGCAGTTTCCAAAGCCCAGTCTCAACTTTAGGTGCTGTCAATCTGCACATGTACAACCATGATGATCTGGATCTTTTGTGTTTACTATCAATCTAGGATTGTGGAATCTCTATCTCAAAGCATATTTAATTTACAGTACTGATTTTTACAATTATGGATAGCAGAAAGAATTAGATTGATCAATTGACATGGACACCTATCCTTTTAAGTTGTACAAGAAGCTTGATACTGTATTACTGTCACATGTGCAGTCAGTGTGTTTGTTGTAATTATCCATCTCTAGGGTACTTAAGCAAGAATTGGAAGACAACAATATGCAAACTGTGAAAATGCAGTCGAAGATGTTTACGTATAACTTCCCATTGTGCCTGCCCATCTGGAAAATGTAATGTACAAATGTTTTGCATTTTTATGTAGTGTGCAGGTAATGATACATTTTTATACGGTTTTGTCAACAGAAAACTAGTTTTAGGTTCTAAAGAAAGGCTTTCTATCAAAGTTGTCTGTGTGTACCACCGTTATTCTATTTTCTGATTGCCAAGCTACCTACTATATATAACCTTTCTTGTTAGTTACTTTGTAGTATTTTGTTGTTTCAATTGAGTTACGTGTGTTCTTCCCCCTTTGGTAGTAATTTTTGCTGTACAGCATAGTGTAATTGTAACTTCTTTTGTTTGATACCCTTAGAGCCATTGCAGCAGAAACTTTCCTCAAAGGACAGAAGGAGGTAATTTTAACTATATATTGTCCTCCCTGATTTTACTTCTGCATGAGTGCTACCATTACTGCTCCCTGTGGGGTTCAGTGAACTGTACAATACAGTACTTGCTGAGGTCCCAATATCAAATAGAACACAACTACCTTGCTCACTTGCAAGTCACTGACTTGGAACAAGCATGTGCATATCCGGTGTCAGTAATATCTCACCACTTACTAATGTGTTAAAATACTTGTCTTGGAATTTGCTCAGTTTTGCCTGACTGCTGATGCTCTATGGCTGTCACTACCTTTGGGCATCTTTGTTTTAGATCACATGACTAAACTGCCTGCATTTTATCACATCACTGGCACCGGCAGGGAAAGGCAAATAGTTTCACTTGCTTGGAGCTTTTTATTCATTATTATTAATATATTAAATCCATGTTACTCATGGAGTGATTTTACTAAAGCAAAACTATATTTACAGCATGGATGTAATGTAAAGACGTAAGGGAGAACAGTTGTTCCCCATTCCTAAAAATTTGCCTGTTTTATTCTCTAAAGAGAATTGGTCAGTTGGTGGGGAAATATGTAGCGTTGATTGAATTTGCGTAAATTTTGAGTGTTTCTTTTTCATCCATTCAGGGACACAGAAGTTCATATACATTTTAGGTTATACTGCTGCCTGTATAGAATTGGACATTGGCAAACAAAAATTGCAAGCTAGCCCCCATATAACCCCTCCTCTATTGTGCGTGCCCTAGTGTCCTAGAAGGATGGACATTTTTTCCCCCTAGCCATGTTCTTCTAGCCTTCCTTTTTTTTTCAAATATTTTTCTCTCCAATTGACTGCAATCAATATTCCTCACTACTTTGCTGGTTGAGCTACAGTCCATCAAATTCAACCTACCTAGCAGCTATCCATATTGGCGTTTCCTCAGCCTGGTTTTGGAGGCCATACATGGACCCTGCTGGATTAACGGTGCAGGACACAATGTGACTTTCAGGCCCTGGGTTCTGCATTAAGGCACTTTCCACACCTGAGCGTACTGTCATTTTGAGTATACAGAAAATAAATGCGGACAATTAGCTTTTTTTGCAAATGAACTTTACAGTCTCTTCTGCTATAAAAAAAAAACCTGTCGGCAAATTTTTCAAAACAATTTTACTTAAATTTTAACACTGGGCATTGAACATGTGCCACTAGGTGAAGTTTTGCCCGCGTCTCACTATTCAGTTTAAGTATCATCTCGCTCCTGCTCATGAAAGCACTAAGCGGATCTCTAATTGCCATCTCCTCTCTAATGCCTGCCTACAATGACCTGGTCATCTTCCACCATCCAACCCTCATCAGCACCAGCTGTCTGAGTTTGTAAGTGCCTGAGGATCTTTGCCTCACATTTTGGGTCCAGTTGCAGCTACATAACATGCGGGCATAACATATCTGCACACAGACATGGGGGGGGGGCAGGAAAGTCCTGCTCTGAATGTTAATGGTACTGGGTAGTTCTGTATCCTCAGTGTTGCTCATGCACACCTAGATGTCTTAGAGAATAGCACTAGTCCAAACACAGGAGTCAACACTCAAACATCCCTGACCTTTCTATGAGGAAATCATAGTAGTTCCTTGCTGGAAAGGTCCATAGCATATCTACCTTTCAAACCCTTATCTGACCATGATGCATCGGCAGACTCTTCCTTCAGAAGTGTCCCTTTCTCCCATCGCTTCCTGATCCACTTAAGCCCCCTTCTCTGCTGTTGCGGGGTCCAGTTCCTGATCAGTCCATTGTGTGTGTTTCTATTGAACGGGTGGTCCCTGGTGTGGTAACTATCCATCAGATGGCTGGTAAGAGGAATTTCCTTATTCAGGATTTCTCCTACGGGAGAATCATTTTTTCCACGGCTGCTGTCTGGTACCCCTAGAACAGGTTGTATTCTACACTGCGAGATTTTGCTCTGGTTAGGCCATCTAGGTCAGACTCCTTTGGACATCAGATTGGTAATGTGATCCTTCCCCCACTGTGATGAAATGGGTATCCTTTCAACATCAGGAGAGGTAGTCTGGATACTGTGAGTGTCTCTCACACAGTTTCTCTCCCATGTCGTTCAGTTAAGAATGTTGGTACTTCAGGCTGCCTGTTGGCTGCAAGCAAGTCCCTTGTTCCTTTTGGGCCTGTTTAAGGTTGTTGCTGTGTTTCCCACCCCTCAGTTCAACTGTCATTTGGATATCCTGATCCTATCTGAATTCCTGTGTCTTTCAATAGATGAGAAAGAAAACTGGATTTTTGTACTTAAAATAAAAATCATTTTTAGGAGTCTATTGAGGGACACAGGCCGTCCCACTCCTCTGTGTTTCTGTATTTGTGCTTGGAACTGCCTTACCACAAACAGTCAAGCCGGGGAAGGGTTATAGGGGGGCTGGCTTGCGATTTTTCTACATGCCAGTGCCCAGTTCTCCTGTAGGCGACAGTATAACCTGACGGCATCTGAATTTGTGTGTCCATCAATGGATCCAAGAAAAGGGTTTTATGGTAAGTACAAAAATCCATTTTTTTATACTCCTGGTGACCCATTTGTATTTTTCTCTTCCCTTTCTTTCTCAAATGCACCTTGTTCCTGCAGGTCTATCGTTTGTATGAAAGAGCACTTCAGAAGTTGGCTCTGTGTGCTGAACTCTGGAAAGATGTAATGTATTCATCTGTTTCTATTTGTTGGGGTTATGCCTATTTTATTTGTGTTTACCATGTCTGTAGATGTGTGCAGTACATCAGCCTTACTGTTTGTGCTTCCCCGTCTTTTGCAGCAATTCTTGTTTGAAGCATCAGGAGGAGATAAAACTGATAACCTGAGAAAACTAGTTTCCAAGTGCCAAGAGATTGGAGTCAGCCTAGATGAGCTCTTAAATTTAAAAACAGAAAGCAGGAATCACTGAACACTGGTTGCATTAATGCCAAAGTCCTATACTAAATTGCCAAAATGGTCCTGAAAAGTCTGATTCAGATTAGCCTTTGAAAGTCAGACCTACTGAGTCGTCACTGCTTTCTGTAACTGGGAAATGAAAATGTACTGCCCATCTTTAACTGGAGAGTTGAATTCCAAACTGGCCTGCTTCTAGGCCCAACAAGATTCTCTTAACATCATGTCCGTAAGTATAGTTAAAGTGACTGCTGTTTTATTGTTTGTCTGTTTTTGTGTTTTTTCTCCTCTTACCCTTGATTTATTTTGCAATCCCCATTTGTTGTGCTGTTTCTAACTTGCTTGACTCTCTCACTGATGCCTGTGAGACCTGTGTTTATCTATGGAGACTGCTGTTTACAATCCACTTCGGAACACTCAGTCTCTCTTCAGTCTTCTTAATCTTTACCTTTTTTCTTCTCATTTAAAAAATGTCTCTGGGGAACAGAATAATTTATATAGCTAAGGCAAAAAGCAGCAGGTCCTCAGTAGAAGCAAGGCCATCAGTCTGCTAAGTGCACTTGAGGGAAACCCCCCTTTTTTCTATTTCTGTTTTTCATATTTTTTTTTTATTGCCCCCTTTACATTACTGAGTTTTGGACTCTAAAGCAGAGACTGTTAAACTTGAAGACAAAAGATACTATTGCAAAATGCCAGAGCATCAGAGCCGAAGAGTGGTCAAATAATATGTGCAATTTTTCTTTGTTAAGTTTAATTTATAATAAAGTTTAACAGAATATAATGGAAACCTATGTTTTGTATCTTGGTACTACCTTGTGTAGTATGAAAACTGTTTATAAAGATATTTTTAAAATAATTAAACTTTATAAAAAATACAATCTGCCTTTTTTTTTCTTACTCACTCAAACTCTTCGCATATAATGAGAAAGTTTGCTAAAGGGGTTTTCCTGGAAAAGGTTTATTGCCAACAACACCTTGGTAATTAAAGCATTCATTTCATAAAAGATTGAACATCTGATTTTCCTGCCAGCACCTCCATCACTGCAAAAAAAGAAAACCTTTAAAAAATTTTGTTTAAAAAAAAAAAAAAGTCCTTCAGTCCCAGCTTCTGCGAGGTGTGAGTGACATCACTGTGCCTCACTAGATGAGCGCTTTTAATCCCATGAGAATGCATCCCAGCCCATTGCAGGGGTTGCAGATTTTGAGTGCCTGCTAGGTACAATGACAACTCCTGTGCTCTCTCGGTAGCTGGGTCAAAGTAGGTTTTGTTTAAATACTTATTTTTAAAATTGATTGGGTTTTTTTCAACTAATTTTGTTTGGGTGGTGTGAAGCTGGCAAGAAAGTGGAAATCCCATTTGCATGGAAAGTCTACTTTAAAAGTCAGACCTCAACTCTAGGGGGACTGAGTGAAATCTGACCATTTTAGAGAATACTATAGAATGTTATAGAATGCTACAAATTCGGAGCTTTTTTTAAAAGTGCTCTATGTTGTGCTGTTGTAAAAAAAAAAAGGTTCGTTTTTTGTATTTTACTCACACTGCATTGACGCAACACGTTTTGGTTAATGTTCAATAAAGGGATTAAAACTGACCTAAAAAATATATTTAAAGAATCTCAGTAGTTTATACATCTGTGAAACCTGTCCACTATCCCAACCACATTTCTTTTTAACCAGCATGATTGACTACTTAGTTGGTTTGCTTTCCTGTTCTGGTTATTGGGTTACAGTAACAGCAACTAGAATGTGATGTGCTGTTCCTCCATAGCTAGTACCGAGTACAGGGAGTGAGTGTTATCACCCTATGACCACCATGCACAGTATGTACACTGTGCTTTGTCCTCTACTGTGAGATAGGTTGTCATTCACCAAAAATAGTACAAGTATGCTGCCGTAACATCACCGCAAGAACAGATGTGAATGGGCCCTCAAGTTATTGTAACCGTTGTCCCTTTTTAGGAGAGTTTCCCCTTTTTTTTTTTCCACCCCCTCAAAGGTTTAGAGTATGTCCTTTCTCTAGCATTTTCCTCCACTCTCTACACCTGTGATGGTCACCAATACAGACAGCAATTAAAGTCTGTGCGGTTCTAACGCTTACCACATTTATCCAAACCAAAGGGAAGCGATGGAATTTTAATTTAATGTGTATTTTCAGGAAAGATAAAATATTCAGTACATCTTCCCAATATATTGCACTTTTCCCTTTGTTTCGTCTTTAAACACAATTCAAGTACAAAAAAATACTTGTTGATCCCACCAGAAACCCATTGAGCACATAACTTCCTGAGGTCACTGCCTGTACTGAACTTGTCAGCCCTGCCCAAATCTCTCTGCACTACAGAACACCTCACCCTATATTCTGGAAAGGGATTAGGTCTGTCCTGTCCTGGGGTGGCAACGCTGCTCCTCCATATTTACAGTACAGGGAGTGAGTGTTGTCATCTTACAACAGGTGTTGCAGATTATCAAGTAAAAATAAAGTGTTAAAAGCCTGAAAATGAGTGATGCAATATAGTCAATATTTGTTCTTGGGTTTATAAACACTTTTAAGTTCTAGTGCTGATGTCACAATTCAAATAGCTGCATTTCTGTGCTATTCTGTGTCTAATTGCACTACAGATGCTGAAAACGTGCCTATTGGGTTGACAAGATGGTAAGGAGGGGCTTTGGCAATGTCTTTTGGCTTTATCCTTCACTAAAAATAAACTTACCAGTGCCACCAATAAGAAAGTCATTCTGAAGACAACAGTCATACCAAAACTAAAAAAAAACAAAAACTTTGTACAATGTCCAATGTAAAATACACTAGTAGGCTAGACACAAGCTCAAACTGAACAGATGAACACAAAGTAATGCAAATGATTAAAGTTTATAATATTTGCACTCACAGTAGCTAGGATTGAGTAGGGCCTGTTCTTGTCCATGAAAAAGGATGCCTTCCACACAGCTGAGCACACATGCTTATGCCCAGCAGTAGGGCCTTGTGCTAGGCTGGCCTTTAGAGTAGCAACAAGCCTACTTCTAGACTTCTGCGTGAGATGTTTCAAGAGAACTCAGTTTGTGAAACGATAAGCCCTAGAGTTGAGCATAGTGGTGTACAGCCAGAGCACATCCCAATCTATACAAGCATGTTTGCGATACTGTATAACAGGGGTAGCCAAACTTCAGCTGTGGTGAAACTACAGATACCATCATGGAAGTCATGCCTGCGGCTGTCGGTCTTGCATGCCGAATGGGATTTGTAGTAGCACCACAGCTGGAGGGCTGAAGTTTGGCTACTCCTATAGCATGTCTTTCAAGACCGACTATGGGCCCCTGTTTACGTGGTTGTTTGAGCTGCTTATATAAGCCAATGTAATGCAAAAGCGTCATTTGTGATTTAAACTTTACCACACAGAGTTTAAATACTAACTTCTAAGAATCTACAAATTGATGAGATGAGTAGGCTGGAACTGACAGGCCTTTCACCATGGCAGCATACTACGGGCTAATTTCAGGTGCATTCTTCTTGCATAGAACAGTTTGAGACCCTTTTGAAATCATTAAAAGTAAATTGGTATGCATTTGACCTGCAGTTCACCTTATTACCTACATTTTACATCCTAACCTGCTTTTGAATTCACATTGAATTGTATTGGAAGGACATCAGTTCTAACACATATAAAAGCCTGTCGACCCAGGCCGTGGGTGCATTCTTAATATGGCATCACTGCAGTCCTACTGTAACCGCTGTTTGTAAAAGGGGAGTTACAGGTTATTCTCGGTTTTAAACAATAAAAAAAGAACCATTGAAAACCAGAAACCCATTTGTTGTTGCCTTTAAGCCAGCTCTGCTGTTCCTTGGCCTTATGTTTTCTAAAGCTATAAGCTTCACTAATCATTGTCATCTCTCACCTCAAAGGAAGGAATCAAACTGCTCTGGTAAGTGATCTCTTCTATCATGCACATAGATGCAGTTATTGCTGCTCTCTTAATGTTCAGTATTTTGAATCAATAAATCTGAAAAAGCAAAAATATGAAGATAGAGGCAGCCAGATGGCTAGTACTTATCAGCAGTGAGCAATAGTAGCCCACATATTGCCTTCACTACGGGTTTCCTTTAGCGTAAACCTGTCTGTACCATTAAAGCACTATTAAGATGGGCAGAACTTGACATTACCAGCAAGTGTTGCGTTTTGCATGATAAAATGCATTTGGGCACCCCAGGCAATATAGACCATATGTAACGGTCAGTCCAAAATGCTAGGTGCTGGCAGTGCTTGTAGTCTGGTTGGTACTACATGGGTACTGCCAGATTTTAGATGTACATTCTAGTAAAAAAAAAAAAAGCTTTGAAATGTGTATAGGGACTACAGCATGCTTGGTTCTTAGGATTTCCACACAGGCACTTTCTCATTTGTCGGAGCCCCCTTTTTTTTTTCTCCACCTGTTTGTGCTGTAGGAGAGAGATTCACATACACTCCCACTATAATCTTTTTGCCATGTTTATACAGTAAGCCTAATAGAACGAAGTGTCGGTGCTAAGAAGTTTCTCAGTTCTGCCAGTCAGACTTAAACGTGCCTTTTGAAGTTTGAAGCGGTCTGGTGACGCAGCAAGCAGAAAGACACAGTTCTACAGATATTAAAGCTGTAAGAAGACTGCCAGTCCGACTGTTCATATTAGAGATCATAGTTAACATAGCCAATGGGTTTAGGCACTGCCCTTTCATTAGGGCGTATAAACTAGGCGTTTTCGATGGTTGGTCTTGGTGGGATATGACAATAAAGGTGGCCATACACTTTACAACCAGACTAAGGTCTTGCTATGGTTGTAAAGTAATTTAAAAAAGTACGATCTGCCCATCTTGGACAGGCAGATCGTACTTGCGATCATCGCAAGCCCACCCCCCTGAGGGGCGGGCTTCCGATGACTGCAATGCCGAACGGGCAGTGTGCGCGTGCGGCATTGATCTTACGATCATGCTGAAAATCGTACGATTCTCGGCTGGTTTTCTAGCATGCTTGGAAGACAAAAGACGTGCGACCGTACAGTAAAAACAGTCGCACGCCTTCCATACACTTTGCGATTATCGTACGATCGTGGGATTTCCCGCGATAATCGCACAGTGTATGGGCACCTTAAGAATGATTAGGATTGCAGACATTTGTCCAGAATAGTAGTTTAGAAGCTATTGATGTAGCATGAGCTCTGATATAGCATGGGGTCTGAGTTTAGAGTAGTGCAGTAGCCAGACCCTGTCCTTACTGCATGTCGGCAATCCTGACATTTACCTTCTTATCATAACACACCAAGTCTAACAATTTTAAACTACAGTTAATAAGCCTTGATGAAGAAGGGAGTACATTAACCCTTAAACACTTTAGCTGTTTAAGCTTATGTTGCTCTAATATGAAATAATTATACATAATCTTGGACTCTTCAGCTATTGGTGTGGCTGTATTACACCTTTTAATGTTTGGATCCTTCCCAGGGCACCCTTTCTGGGAATCCATGGTTCACGATGGCTGCTTAGCTGCATCGAGCCTCATGAACTGAATTTGACTTTAATAATAGGGGCTGTGGACAAGAAAAAGATCCAGCTCCTTATATCTACATATCCACGTTTATACAGCCCCACCTTCAGACTTCTGTCTAGATTCTGATTGACATTACGGGTTTGTTCTG